TCTCTGAATATTTAATGTATTGGGCCTTATGTTTAGGCAAGCCTTTGTGTACATTCAAGTATTTTTACTGGATAAAATCAGATATTCTCTTTAGGTTGTCTTCATAAGCTTTTTTCATAAAACGAAGAAGCTCATCTGGCCTGTAAATGTAAAAAGAAGATGAAAATCATCTAATATTCTATATCATTTCAAATATTTACCACCTATACAACACTAGCATCACAATGATTCATTATCCACTCCAAAATACTTTGTACAAAACCTAGAATATATCAGATATGTTTGTTGGAATCCCATGTTAATTTAAACTTGTTGAAAAAGCAAACAAAGCTGAAATGAACCACAACATTTTAGAGAGAGAGAAGCTAATTAAAACAGAATGAGGCAATTTCAAAGTTAGTATATTCTGTATTCATGGCTTCCTGTCTGAGGGGTTCACTTTGTCTCCAGCTCGTTTGATCTCCCACGTAAAAACCCCACTCCAATAACCCATATCCCATATCCTCATTTGGTAGCCTGGTGACAGTTTCTCCGATACAAAACAGTATCCGTTTCGCTTCATCATGTGGCACAGGTCCAACCTCTGTGACTAATTTGCGAATAGATCTCCTCTGGAAGCCACAGCCTGGATTGTACAACTGTGTAATTACCGGTGCTGAAGCGAATGAGCAGGATTAACCAAGGGAATATATAAATCATTGTTTTGTGCTCATGCTTCTGAACTGAGGACATTTGAGTTGATTTCTCCTTGTTTGCTCTACACACAGCCTGGATGTCAATGAACCACAGACTGGGGTGACTATGACTGCTGATAACAAAGAAGAAAGAGCTTTAGTTGTTTGGAATAAACACACTAAACAGTTATTTCAATTGAGGTAGGGTGTTTTTTTTTTTTTTTTTTTACAGATTTCTGTTGAATGCCTTTAGCTTGTGTGATTATTTTCTACCTCAGAGCCTGTTGACAGACTGTTCTAAGAAAAAAAGGGTTTACAGCAGTTTGCAAAAGTTCTGAACTTTTTCACATTGTGTCAGATTGCAACCACAAACCTCCACAATGGTTTGATATGACAGACCACCACAATGTTAAATGCAATTGTAAAGTGGAAAGAGAAGGATAATTGGATTTAAAGTTTTTTTTTTTCCTGACAATATTCTGAAAAGGATGGCCTATAACTTTATTACAGAACAATAGAAAAATAGCATAATGCGAATATTCAATTCAGTTCAATTCAGTTTATTTATATACCGGTAGTGTCAATTCACAACACATGTCATCTCAAGGAACTTTACAGAGGCAATTCAACTAGATCATACAGTCAGATTGGTTCAAAGTGTTCTACCTAAGGAAAATCAGTTGATTGCATCGACTTATTGACTCGAAGGCAATCCCTCACACCTGCTTGTAGTGACAGTGGAGAGGAAAGACTCCTTTTTAACAGGAAGAAACCACCAGCAGAACCAGGCTCAGTGTGAGTGGCCATCTGCCGAGGCCGACTGCAGTTCAAGGAGAACGAAGCAGACATACAGAAACAAGCAAAGATACAAAAGGTAAATGTCAACCAGGAAAAAGTTAAATTTTTGTCTCATCTGTCCCTAGGATACTGTAGGATATGATGTTTTGTGGCTTGTCAACATGTGCAGTAGTAACCATTTAGAATTTCCCCACTTTCGTTGATGGGCACTTGGCTGGTCCTTGACTGGTCCTCTACAATTCCTTTTTAAACATCAGTCTTTGTACTAAAATATTCTTTCTGTCATAATTTGTGGACATTACCATCTAAAAAGAGGTGCCTTCCCCTGGTCAGACCCTGTAATTCACTGAAAGAGTACAGTCAGCTAAAGAAATATGCACGCCCAGTTCCTTGAAGTTGGCGGGGATATTGCTGGGACTTGCAGGGAAGTGGGCTGGCATTTGGCTGGCATTTGACTGGGAAGGGCCATTTTGAATGTCTGCTACTGTAGCTTGTCAACATCCAGTCTGACATTTTTATGATTTGTTTTAAACAATTTTGTCAAAACCCTAAAAGACAAATACTGTACTATAGAGCTGGAATTAGACAAAGTAACTAACTATGGTTTATGGTCTCCAAGCAAAAACAAGTGGTCAAAAACTCATATTCAGTCCCTTCCTGGACACATCATCACAACGATGAAGACTTGAAATAAATAAAAAATAAATAAAAAGTTTTGGTGAAAAAATCTGGTTGACTGGAGGGGAGGTTTTCCAGCAGCTCAAAATCCTGACAAGTTCAGCCAGACTGGCTGGAAATATGATAATCTATAGCAACTTGAATTTTTAGATGTTAGATGACCTAAATATGCATGTATTCAGTTTATTAACTCAACAGACTGCACAAAAGACATCTGTATTCCTCAATATTTCGCTTGACAGGTTATAGACAAATAGTTTTCAAAGGGACAGAGCAACCAAACCCGCCTGCCAGGTAAGGCAGACAGGGGGAACCACGGGGTCGCCGGTGTCCAAGCTACTGTCACGGGTTCGCTCCGTCCCCCGTTGGCTCCCTGTTTCGACTACATGCTGCACTTGTTGCTATGATGCGTCTTTGCATAGCAGGTTTGCTAATTCTAAATCAACCAATCAGCGCACAGCTCATCTAAATAATCCCGAGCAAATTATAAAAGGAAGAAAACCTGTCGTTTCATTCTAGGATTTTTAAGCAGGCTTGCATTAGGGCTCATAGAACAGCAAATATGCCATTTTCAGCCCAACCAATGTTACACACCCTATTCAGAGACCTTAAGGACTAGCACAAAATACCCTATATGATCATTCTATGGCCCCTTTAAAAGCTTTCTTTGTGCAACTGTTTACTTTTTACTTTGTCATTATTTCTATTTCCATGCCTTTAATCTTAAAATTCTGTGAGAAACTGGTTTATATGTTTGGTAAACCACTTGACACTCCTCCACAACTCTTTCAAGCATTAAATACAAAGATAGACCAGAGTCTCTCCCAAATGTTCAAAGAAAAACTCTGAGTGACCCTGATAAAGCCTGGAGAGCTGTTGCTCAGGGCGATAAGTTCTTGGAACCAAGGATATACAGTAATAAAGGGTTTCTCTACTTTGCACCACACAGCACATTACTCAAGGATGTCATGGTGTTTTGGCAATCCTGGCATATCGTCAAAACAATAACTAGTTTTTTTCCCTTTTGTATTGGTCTATCATAAAGTAGATGCACACATAAAGTGTTGTTAAAAGGCTCAAAAGGTCACTCTCTGCTCATGTTTATTCCATCATGTAAGACTCAAACCTATTAAGGGATTGACTGACAGAACCGGTTATGAAAGTTCAATTATTTCACGGCCACTGGTTGCTTGTATTCTCGGCTTTATTTTTCTTTCCACTAAGGGATATTAGTCAGACGGTGCATAGCTGCATTTGTTTGGACATGACATTCGGGCAAGTTCAGAGCAGCTTTTTTGTGTTTTTAATTGAAGTGCTGACAAGGAGGTCACACAGCCGTTCACGGAGCTCTTTTGGGTTTATTGGCCCGGGTCAGTCTGACTGAGAGCTTAAGCTAGTCAAAGCCCTGGGAGGCAGTGATAAGGAAAAGAAGCATAAAACCAAATGAACCAGCTTTGCTCATGGACGAAGACAATGTTACAAGTCTGTTTAATGCTCCAGTATAAAGTGATTATATCCTTCTGGACCAAAGGCAAAACTTAGAGTGTTTACAAGCAATTATTTTTCTTTTTGTGAAGAGTATTTAACATAAGATGACTGAAAATTAAAAATTAAACTAACAGCAATAATACAAATGTTTCTTATGACAAATAAAAAACAAAGGCTACATGCTCCTTTTCTAAGAACTACCTCAATATACACTGCCAAGCCAGGGAGTCTAGGTTCTCATATTTCAAATAATGACTTGTCCTTGTCCTGGGTTCTCCGTCTGGAACTCAAATTATCCCAGAAAAGATAAGGAACAAATCACACTGACTAGCAGATAAAAGTACCATCAGAGATAATGCATGGTTGGCATTTCAAGTCCAAGCCTGCATAAATTCCTTTCTCATTTTGCTTAGGATGGTTTATACCCAAATTAGATACATAAGAGTTGAGCTTCTGCTAACATGCAGCAAACTCTGTGCGACGTACATCTTTTTTTTAAAAAACAAGGAGTTGAGAACTGTTTGGTTTTGTCTTTAAGTACGGTACAATAAAGAGCTAATTTGTTTATTTTTTTTTTAGAGCTGTTTAGAGGTTGACCAGGTAGAGTAGAATTTACGATTCCTTTAGGTGTAGCAAGTTGTCAGGATCATAAAGCAGCCAACACCATCACACTGTGTTTGGTTCTGTTTTGTATTGGATCAAGACAGGATGTGTTGTTTTTTTGTTTAATTTTAGTCTACTGCTTATTGTAAAACATATTTTGGTTCAAACCTCAGCTCTTTAACCTTTAATAAAAGAAATTGAGACAATTTAGTTTTTATGCATTGTATTATTATCTAATAATACATTTTTTATCATCATCTAAATGTTTTAGTGTGAAAAAAAGAAGTAATACTTTGCCGCAGGGATGTTTTTGAATGAACCAATTGTTTCTGAATTAGATGAAAGTATAAAGCAAAGCAGGAAAATTCACAATATATTATTTTATTTTTTTTCAACAAAGTTAACATTGAATAAAAAAAAAGTTCTGGCTTCAAAAGCAGACACCATTAAAAAGAAAAATGTCAAAAAAAAAAAAAAAAAAAAAAAATTTACAGAAAATCCCCCTTAGCTGAGACAATGAAAAAGCTCGAAGCGAGCGTGCGTTTTACATACACCTGCTGAAAACTGATCTCCCATCTGGAGTTCCAAAGCAGTTTAGCCTTAGGTGTAAATGACCTCTGAGACAGTCCCTTTTCTTTGGTCTTCAGTTGAGCTTTGAATAAAACCACATGCTGAAGCTACCAGTAATGCCCACTGGAGGCAAAAAGCGAAAGAAATTCTACTCAGTTAAAAACAAAACAGTTTAACATCAGGTGTTTGGCATAAAAAATAATTGCACTTGCTGTGATGCTTAAAACTTAACTCATTTCCATCTGAAAGAGTTAAACAAGTTCAAATCTTCAGCATAAAATGTCTAGCATTCCAAATGGTTGCTAAAACCCCAATGCATTTCTTTTTTTTCCAGATCAGCTGATTGTGACTAACACAGCAGAGTGGAGTTTTCCTTAGAAGGAGAGGAAAATCTGCTGCTCAGCTGTTGGTCCAACTTTTTATCCAACCTGTCTTTGAATGAAAACCACAGACATGTGGGGTCATTTAACAATAAATATAAAGCATTAATCATAGCCAAGTATCTTTTCTTTTACTTCAAACATGTTAAAATAGTACAGTCATTGCTACAGAGAGGATTTCTCTTGCATCTAGTGACATTTGGTAAAAAGTATTTGAGGTTTTGGTAATCCACTTCAGGAGAGTGTCAAGGGAAAATGTAACATTCCCAGACATCTATGCGTCGTCTAAAATCTGGGAAAAATCAAACACTGGGGACAGATGAGTTGGGTACATCAAATATCTCAGTAGTTGTATGAACCAATTCTTTATAGCTTATCACTGTTATCTAAAGCAGTAGTATTCATCGGATTCCACCCTCAGTTTCAAAGGGGCTTTAGTGAAGGAGTCACTAGAGATGACAGTTTTATCCATTAAATGATCCAGGTCCGTTGGCGAGGAGTCCCCAGGTAGGTCCTCTGCCAGAGTGTCCAGGTAACTTCCCACAGAGAGGCCGTCCAACCCGTCGCTGTTTCCGTCATTCAGGCTGTTATAGCTGCCCCGCAGGAAGGAGCCATCCTGGCTGTCTGAGAGGCTGTACAAGCTGCCAGACAAGCTGCCATCCTGGCTGGTTATATCCCCCTTGTCCTCCATCATCCATCGGATGGACTCGATGCCCTCGTTGATCGTCATCAGCTGCTGCATGAGCTTCACGTCGATGGCTCGCAGGTTTGCCTAAATGGCAAAAGAAAAAAACGACTAATGAGCTCCAGTTGCATATTTAAAAAAAAAACAACACATTTTAAAACTGTAGATTTAAGATATACTGAAGCTAGTATGTCCAGCACGTTCACAATATAAACACATCAGGCAACATATTACTTCATTTTTTTTTTTAGTTTAGAAAAATCTAATTGAAGGTTACAGACATCTGATTTATAACATTTGATCTGATAATGGCTGAACTGTGGGTTCCATTCCAGTTTTTTCATGGAATACTTGTTGCCCATCAATGCGTGTTTCAGTGTATGAATGTCGAAAAATCAGAACCAGCAGGTCAGAGCAGTACAATGTGTATAATAAATAAATAAATACATTTTTATCCAAATATCAATTTGATATATTTAATACCTGAAGAATTCCTTGGTTGAAATATTTGGTTTTTAAGTATTTTTAATGCAAATTCAAAAAACAAATATTAATTTCCTGTTAAATGGATACACTTGATGCTTGTTCTTGCTATGCTAAAGCTAACAAAGAGCATTAGAGACATTGTGACTAAGGAGGTGAAAGAAAAAGCGTAAAAAAAAGGTTTATTAATCCCAATAATCCCATTTACATTTGATCCCATATATTCAAATGTTCTCCTTGTACAAGAAATTAAAGTGATTATTTGTCCTGTACTCAGTGTGCTGAAAGTAAATGTGCTTTTATAACACCTGTAAATGATATCTTTGAGCAGAAGGTTATTTGGTTTGATCAGGAGCCATAATCAGATTTCGCAAGAGCGTGCCAGCAGGAACCGAGATCAGAAAGTGAAATGGAAAATGGGAAGGAAAAAATAAATAAATAATGTTAATGTACTGAGCGCAAACGTATGATATATTTTGTTTACGGCTATTCAACAAAACTTAAACTACTTTCACACAGCAGATTTTCATGCTTTATTCCAATTTTTTTTCTGAAATCTAATCTTTTTGGTGGGGCCTTCATTCTACCAAATAAATGTGACCGCTATAAGTAAGTTTGACTGTAAGTTTTCAATAAAGCTTTGTAAAAAAAATAAGATCATAAAATAACCAAAAAAAAGTACAAAGGTTTTAGTTTCACCCAATTTAAATTCTGTAAAAAAATCTTCCCCAATGGAACCCATTGCTATCTGATTATTTTATAATCGACAAACTAATCAATTAGCGAAATGAATTTGAAAAGTTAACAGCATTGTTTATCAACTGCATCCATTTTGAAATCTCTTTAATTATAATGATATGGGAATAGCTGAAAGCTATATGTCTTTTTTTAATAAAAATATTACCGTATTTTCGGACTATAAGCCCCTGCTTTTCCCCACGCGCTTTGAACCAATGCAGCTTATAAGAAGGCGCGGCTTTTCAGTGGATTTTTCCAAAACACCAGAGGGGAAAGTTAAAGTTTATTAAAAATGTATCCGAACACAATACTCTTTTTCAAAAGTATCGATACCAGCCACAGCTAGCAATTCAAGACTTACGTCAAGTTAAAGATCATAAACTATGTAAATAAATCAGGCACGTAGTATGCCCATCTTACGTTAATTGACAATTAATAAATTTACATAAATGTTGGTGACTGAAAAGTGCTCTTGAAGTCACAGAATGAAGCAGAGAGAAGTAGACCTGCGTCCAAACACCATCAAACACAGCCGACTCTATCTATGTTTGACAAACAACGGAAATATGATGCCAAAACCCCAGAAGCTATGAAAATAAAAGCAAATTCAGGCCAGTGCTACCACCAGTGGCACCTAAACAGTCATTCATCTAGAGTGCAGAATACAGGGACATGCACTTTCTGAACACTGTGTGATTGAATAATTTTGTGCATTTTTTTATTTCAGAGTTTTTTGGAATAGATGCAGCTGCTTAAAATATATATATGATTTATTTTTGTTTGCTCACTGGTTTGGCTAGTGTCATTGTTATGTGTGTAAAGCAGAGACAAGGGAGGAACACTTTAGTTAATTTTTTTTATCAAGCTTGCTTGATATTGTGCACAGCATACAACCTCAAAATATTGTTTATTGTATTTATTTTTTGTATTTTATTTATTAGTAAAAATATTTCTGTTAAATTTTTGGGGTCTTTGTTTTTATCTTTGTGGTATCGAGTATCGAATATTTTCCTAAGTATCTGTATCGATTTGAAAATGTTAGTATCGGGACAACCCTACTTTCAATAGAAGCTCTTACTGCTGCGAGCTAACAAGCTAAAAAGCTAGCATATATGTAGAGCTCCCCCTGCAGGTTTGGTGAGAGACAGTTCAGCAGTTCAGTAGATATCAGCGGCTTTTAGCCCGGGTGCAGCTTATTAAAAAATTTAGCAGGCACGGCTTTTAGTCTGGAAAATACGGTGATAATAATGATGTTGATAAAAACAAAAAACAACATTGATGGGCACTAAAAGGCAAAAGTAATGTCAATTTAAGCACAATGAAACTAGATGCAGTATCTGAAAGTTTTTAGGCAATATCCTAAGGTTTCTGATCTATTTTTAATAAGAGAGGAAAAGGGAGAAACAAAGTAAAAATCATCATCTTAACGATTACTAAGCAAAGACAGGATCACGTTACAGAGGTCAGATTAGACTTTGTAGGAAGCAGACAAAGTTTGTGGCAGATTTTTCTTTATTTCCTGATGACTGTTAGCATTCTCAGGTCATGGTTGGAACAAACAGTGCTATTTTGTTTAGACTATTGGGCTCTACAATGCTGTCCTAACTGTGTGGCACTGACTGTTGACAGTTTCCACCCATAATAATGAATGAGATGGCCACAGTACACAGAGCATCCATTGATTGAACTCTGTGGTTTAAAAAACCGTGCCACTCAGTGTGGGTGGAAGTGGACAGCCTTTTTTTTTTGCAGTCTTAAAGAGGGATTCCCCCATCTGTGGTTGACAATCGGCCTGCATGTATAAACGACAACTGGGCAGCTGTTACATCCTGCCGACGATGAGGCAGCTGGTTTGGTGTGACAACCCTTTCTCTGTTCTGGGAAAAACTGTGGAAGGTTTTCATTAAACGTCTGTTTTACGTACAAAAATATAATCACATATTTTAGCTTCAGCTGTTTCTAAATCCATTGGTTTATTTACTTACATGGCAATGATTACTTGACGTTTTTTAAGGGTCTGTAATTTGGAAAAAGCCAATTGAGTTAATTGCAAAATCTAATTTTGTGGGTGACATCATAATAAATCAACCCCTGTTACGCTTCATCAGTCAACTGGCAATTATATCTGCATGCTTCACTGAGTAAAAACCCGGTCAGCCAGACCATCTGCTCCGGAATCCTAATACCTTTAGTGACCTTAGTCATTCAAAACAGGAGTCAGCTCAGCTGTCTGCCAAAGCTTACATGTTAAATGAACAGCACATAAAGATACTTTACTCCACAGCATGAGGTTTTTACAGTACATAAAAAAAAACAAGTAATTAGGTGTCTAATTGAAGGATTGCAAAAATAGTACAACATATTGACAGTGGATATAGTAAGGTTGCCGGTGACATTTAACATTTTTTATGTAAAAACCAAAGCAAAAATATAGAATAACCACCTGCTGAAATTTCTTTAGTTTTTACAGCATCACTGTTTTTGTCTGCAATTAAGACATCTAAGCATTTAATTAATTGGTCATTCTTATGACTACGTGATGCTACCTATAAACCAGGTTTATATCTACCACCTTTTATTTAATGGCATGAAACCTTCAACAAATTAAACAACCCAGTTAGGACACTAAACTTAATCTCAATGACTTGTAATAATCCTCTTATTGAGGTAAAAGCTTGTATTTATTACTGCACTGAGGGGAAGCTCTTGAAACAAGACCCTTAGTTTGGATAATTAAGATTAAGATTCATGTCCAAACCTGTAATTAGGATCTACACTTTATTTTATTTTATTTTATTTTTTTTTTAGGTTTTGACCAAAGATTAACCTTGTGCGTGCTAACTAACCACTAACTTCCAAAGCAAATTTGATTATATAGGGTGTATAGGTGCCTGAAAACTAACTATTTGGTTAGTTTTAAAAGTTCCACTCATGAAACATCATGAGTTTTGTTAATATGCTGGGAATTCCTAGCAGGGAACTCCTAAAGAGGGCATTGCAACTAGTAGCATAATCATTAAAGAAGCCGTAGGAGAACAAATGATCATAACAGAACTGCTGACAGTTATAATGTTCACCTCCTTGTAAGTGGATAATAGTGTATGAGTCAGGAGGAGTGGGCAATTAGTTTCATTTGCAATATAGTTGCAATTTAGAAAAATGCAATTTTTTTTTAGGCAAATCAATTTTCAAATTACTATTTCACACTATTAGTTACAGTTAACATGAAATACAAGTAATGAGAGGGAAAAAAAATGACAGGACAAGCCTTTCATATCAGTTGATATTAATTTATATATGTTTTTTTTTAAACTTAAAAAAATGAACCAGGGCAGTAAAAAAAAAAAAGATTAAGGTAAAACTGATACTTGGACATTTATTAAATATAAGCTTTTACTCTAAAACACCAACTTTATTTAGATGGGCTATAAGCTGGGTTAGAGGCTAAATTATTTTTTGTGCCTACAACCCCCAGAATGCTGTGCAGTTCTGGACATGAGTTTAATGAAATTATAGATCCTTCTATCAGACATATTTCAAGTTGATATTGCTCAGTTGTTTATCAAAACAGTTATATAAATAAATAGTAAAAACAGCATACAACATAGCATGAAGTAGTAATGCCCTTCCCCTACCTGTTGCTGTGCATTAGGCTGAAAAAAAGCTCCTATACTTCTGCATGAATATTGAACTTTCCAATAGCGTAACGACACAACAACAGGCCCGTAAGCAACATTATCTGGGTGGCCCCATATTAAGTACAACACTCCAATCTACGCTCTAGATTACCCATAATTCCAAGCGGTAGTGTAAGAAATAAAATACTCAAATACATCGTTTTTTTAAGTTCTTTTTGCAGTTGGAAACAAATTATATAAATGCATTTTTACCAACCGTCTAATGAACTATACACAGTTATTAACGTAGTAATTCAATTAATTAAACGGCTCACCATCCTGTTGAAGTCTGGCATTTGTTGGGGTATGAATAAGGTCCGTTTAGACATTATTGTACCAGCAGGAAATAAAAGGAATTTTTCTCACCATATATATATAAATATATATATATATATATACACACAAACCATTAAAGAAAAAGTGAATTGAAGTACTGTTAAATTATAGTATCCAGAGTCCTTAGTTATTAGTTGATGTAATGAGCCATAGGAAGTTTTTTTTTTTTTTTTTAGAAAAAACATAAAGAAGTTTCATTCCTACCATCTCCTGTCTCAAAATCAGCATTTTACTCTGCAGTCTCTTCAGGTCCGCAGAGTTTGCGCAGAATTTGCAGTTGTCTAAATGCGGAGCTGCAGACTCTTCGTGCTCATGCCTGTCGCTGTGAGTTCCTCCCGCTAGAGAACGAACAAGACCGTCCGGAACTTTGCGCCCCAACTTGGTCTCTATGTCCGTCAGATCCGGAGAGTCGCTTCGCTCCTCGTCCATCGTCGCTCTTAGCGGAACCGCAGAGGATCGTTGGTGGAGCTCTGAGTGTGGAAAAACAGCTCCAGTTTGATCTGATGCCACAGCAGCAGACCTCCCATTGAAGCCTGTGACCAGTAGGAGGACAGTTCAACACCAGCATGCTCCCTGAGGACACTCCCATCGCAACAAGGGCTGTCCCTTCACAGACACCCGCCAGGTAAATGCCAGGGGCGGAGCTAGATGGGGGGCCAGGGGGGGCCATCCCTTAGTAAAAAGTAGTATACTTTAAGTAAATTCTATGAAGAATACTTAAGTATTAGAATAAGTTTAGAAAGTATACTGAACAATGTACTTTTAGTGTACTTGAAGTATTACTTCTTCGAACTAAATCGGGACATTTTAAAGTAAACAACAGTAGAATCAAGTACACTTGACTCTACTATTATATATAATTTAGAATGAGTAAACTCTAAGTGCACTGCCTGATTTTAAGTATGAAATTAGTGCACTTTTGGTAAACTTGAATAAACTACTTTTTGCTAAGGGATGGCCACCCTTACCCAATTATTGGGTTATGTTCAAACTTATTTAACATTTAAATTTAATATATATAAACAATTACCTGACAACAAAAACCATGTGGTTAATTATGCACATCAATATACTAACATTAACCTCTTAACACCCACCTCATTTTGGGTATTCCTCGCCTATTACCCACATGGAAAAGCAAATAATTTAGGAACTGTAAGCTCAAATTACATGTGCAATGCATTATTTGAAAGCGAACACCCTCTAGTTTCTGGATATATACATTTATAAAATATATAAAAAATATAAATTTATTTATAAAATTGGGGAACTAGAACACAGACCAAGCTGCATCAGTTCAAACATGGCTCAAAGTTGTGTTTTTTTTTTTATTCTTGGAAATGATAGGAACAGCATTAATACAGACATTCTTGAGAAAAAGCAGTTTTTATTGCATTATATTTGTTCTACATCATGTCAACCACAAATGCAGAAAATTTCAGACCTCTAGCTATAACAGTTCCAGAGGGGGGTGGGGGGCTTTGAACTTTTTGGTGTCAACTTGGAGCTGTGCACAATGGCTCCACCTACGGGTAAAAATTTTACCCGTGGAATTTTATGCATTCTGAATTAAAGTTAAGGTCTGTGTCGCTGGCAACCCGGTGGGTTTTAAAAGGTTAAAGATAAATACAAAATTCATGCTCTTTTCAGAACTAGATTTAGTCTTATATGGGGCAAAGAGAAAATTATGTCTCTGGAAGTCATCTAGGAATCTTCACTGTAATCAGAGATAAATAACTACTTTAATAAGTGATCCATTTAATGTAGATATTAGAACATGTAAATATACATTTTTATGCTGAATGATTATTAATAAAAGTAGGTTAGTAATGACAATGAATAAGATGTTTGTGCCAGAACTCAAAACTGATAGAGTTTTGTCCTCTACACCTTTAATTTAGACAGCATGGATGTTTAAATATATGCGTCTATTTGTTAAAAAAGGCTGTAGGAAAGTAGTTTGTCTTTATATTAGAAAATATGGATGTTGTGATTGTTCATTTTCCTAATTGGAACAGTGTAGATTGACCCTGAGGTTCTAGCACCTATCCGCTTTTGGCCACCCCTCTGTGTACATTGGTTATTGCCTGGACACCCTTATTAAAAATTTCTGGCTACGCCTCTGGTAAATGCTGCACTCATGTTCATGTTCATAATGCAAGAGGGCTGCCATCTTTTCACCTTGGAGTGAGATTTTGAACTATTTTGGATTGGCCATCCTTGTCAGGGTTAGATTGAAAGGCTATGATGATATTTGCAGCTGAGTATTCAGAGGATTTAACTGAAACAAAGTGGCAAAAGGTGGAATTTTTGATAGAACAGTAAATGTTACTGAATAACAATAAGAAAATGTGTAACATTAAAAAAATATATACATCATTTTTTATATTCTGGTGATTTTTAGAGAATTGAAGTAGAGAAGTATGGGCCCTACTAAAAGAATTGCATCTTGAATATACTGTAAACTAAGAATTTCACAACTGCGTTTATTAATTATTCTATGCAGTTCAAGTAAAATAAACAATGGGGAACTAATAGGCAATTACTGGATTACTGGCACTAATACAGGAACCAGTGCAATTGAATCCCGTGCAAACTACTCTGTGTATGAATATTTGGTAATAGGCTCAGGATTAAAAAATGTAACTCATTATCTGATTAGTTTTTCTTACAATTGACAAAACAGCTAAACAATTCAGACCTTCAAGGAGGATGTAGATGGCTGCAACGAATGATTATTTTGCAAACACACTAAATTGTCGATTATTTCTTTATTTAATCGATTAATAATTGGATAGCCAAAGGTTCCTTAAAAATTTTTTTTTTTTACGAAATGAAACCATGTGAAGCTAAATCTTTTCCAATTGGGGAGTATAGAGCATAATGAAAGATTACTTTTTTAATTTTAAATATAAAATTTTTGCATATTTGTTTTACAATTTTGGTATAATTGCTGCTCAAGATGGGTCACTCTGTCACTGTCAGCTAAAGTCATGTTTTAAATTCTCTATATTCCACTTAAGGATGAATGGATTACTAAATTAGTGGATTTTTATCAGCATGATATTTTTATAGATAAATAAGTGTAATGGAGTTGAGTTTTAATGTTTGTCATTATGTAGAGTGAAAAATTGCGGATATGAAGTGTGAGCGTGTGAGGACACTGAGATGTGTGAGTCTCACACCCAATGGGTGAGAGTTGACAGCTCTGCTTATAAATCAATTAAAGTATGGATTCATCAGTGAGGTTATTTGATTGGCTAAGTCTTTGCAAAAACTGAAACAGCAACTTTTGCAAAGTGCACAAGGACTCTGACTACTTTGGCCTAATTTATATTAAAGGATATAAAGAAAATGATTAGCTAAAGTATAATTTAAAATCAGTTTGACCATATTCTTTACAGTAGGTCTATTCAAAGTTTTTTTATGATGATAGCAACTTATATATGTGAAAAAAACAAAAAAACTGATTTTTAAAAGTGTTTATATATATATATATATATATATATATATATATATATATATATATATACTATGAAGTTCAAATTGACACTTGTAATCACACTATATACATGGTTTCTATTTCATTAAGTTTTTTTCATTCTATCAAGAAAAGAAAGTTGATGAAACAATGAAAGATACTTAAGAAAACAAATTTTGAATTGTGAAATTTTTATTAGGGTTCTACTTGTCAAATCATTTATTTTCAGTGTTGTTTTCCTCTCTGCATGTAGCCGTTAAATAAGATCCATATTGAAAACCTCAAAACATAGATCTAATGTGATCTGTATTGTTTCACACAAAATAGATTTTTAAAAACACGACTTATGGCCTGCAAAACTTTGCCTGTATTTTATATAAATTAATTTTCTGAATGATGGAACCATATATAAAAAAAAAAAAAAAACAAACATAAAACTTTTGGCCTTATTTCCTTTTATTGATCACTTGTTTTATTTGCAAGACATCAGTCAGCCATAAAAAAGAAGGCTTGCAACTTTTAGTTAATGCTTTATGATCGGTGTCAGGAATTGAACAACAGCACCCCCTTGTGGGTAGTATGGCTCCCTCAGTTTGGCATAGATTTCAAGAAGAGGTTATTAAAAGTTGCTTTATGAGAAAACCTTTGAGTGTATGTTAAAGTCATGCATCATATACTGTATTCCTTCAAAAAGTTAGAAAAAGAAAGGAGAAAGTATTACTTTAACATTCTTTACATCTGATCCTTTACAAGGGAATAATTTAGCATGATTTCCAAATCTTTTATTATTTCAGTAAACCATATTACTACAAAATTGTCAACATATTCTCAAACAAAATGTTGATGTGATCGCATAATAGACAGCAGTTCTGAATATTAACTTTTTTGGGGGCTGGGCATGCCCGCTGCAAAAATTCCTCTTTTTATTGAGAACAGAAAACAACATGCTTTGTTCCTTCAGTAGAAAAGACATGTTAGGTAACAGAGATTTCAAACTACAGATTGGCCTTTGTCGTCGTCATAGCGCTGGTACTGATCACTGAGCAGAGGCTGGTGGCCATCCATCTTGTGGGACCGGGCTCGCACTGCACACGTGGTGGCTGCGAAGATGAGCGCCACCACCACAAGAGCCACGACTATGGCTATGGTTATTGTTTCAGTGATAGTGAAAGGTGTTGCTGGAGAGATAAAAATCAGAGAAATATTACTTTCTCACATGTCAAATTATGCTATTGTATACACTGTACAGTGCCAGTTCAAAATGAAAACCAGTAACCCAAGTCGCACTGCATAATTTAATAAAACGAGACTTGGCCTATTTTTCAGGGGTTGTTTTTACAAATAAGAATATGTATTTCCAAGTATTTTTTACTCTAATAAAATCAGTCATATCCAAGGGTTTTACGTTTTGAATTCTTCTGAAAGTGACTGTAAAATTCATGATTAATCATTTATGGAAAAAAAAAAAACATTCAAACCTCTTTTCTTACCCATTTCTTTTTACGAGGGTACGCACAAAAATTTGACTTGTGTGTATGTGTTAAAGTCTGCGATGGACTGGCGACCTGTCCTGGGTGTACCCCACCTCTCGCCCACTGACAGCTGGAGATAGGCCCCAGCACCCCTCGCGACCCCACTTGGGATTAAGCGTGTCAGAAGATGGATGGATGGATGTGTTAAAGTAGCTAGAGTGCTAGAAACATTAGCCATCATTTACCATCATTTCCAAGTCCCCTACAGATTAGATAAAAAGTTATACAGAAAGCAACTTCCCTCAGGTGAACGCCATATATTTTGAATTACCCCTTTTGTTGGAATTTGGGGAGTGGTGGCCTAATGTTTAGGGCATAGAGCTTGGAATCCAGGGGCTCTGAGTTCGAGCCCCACTCCCACAGACTGCCACTCTCGGTCCCTGAGCTAGACCCTTAACCCCTCACTGCTCCCCGGGTGCCGCACACTGGGAGCACCTGCTCCCCAAGGGGATGGGTTAAATGCAAAGTGTTCATTTCATTGATGTACTTTTGACATCCCTTCCCTTTGGGGAGCAGTGGGCTACCATTGTGTGGCGCTTGGGGAACAGTGAGGGGTTAAGGGTCTTTGCTCAGAGACCCGGAATGGCAGTCTGTGGGAGTGGGACTCGAACTCAGAACCCTTGGATTCCAATCGGAATGCCCTAACCACTAGGCCGCCACTCCCCAAATTCCACAAAAAGGGGTAATTCAAAATAAATGGCACAGAAAGATGCTTTCTGAACTCAGGACGAATTAGAACCTTTGGCAATGCCCTAACCACTCCCCTTTAAATTATCTGTTTTTGCTTGAGATTCTTAATTGTAAGTTTTGACTTTGACTGAAGCATTGTAGCAGATGAGAAACCTCTATTGTAACCATTCCGTTGTTGCTTTAGCTGCATATTTAAGGTTGTTGGGCTGCTTAAAGGTGTTCTTTCATATTTACCCTGTATTTAAGTCTATCCATCTTTCTCTCCCTGCTGGAAGACTATATATATAACTATTATCACTGTTTAGGCTTACAGACAGTGTTGTATGTAGGCCAAATAGGCAAAGCCTTGATTGGTCCAATAAAAATCCCAAAAGATAATTTTTATGTGGTTTCAAAATGGCAAAAACATGTGTTAGTTTTTTTTTGTAACTCTACAAGAACAAATTAGAAAGATTTTGGCATACCTGGCCACTCGGCTTCATAGGAATAACCCAAATTTTCAGGGGCAGTCACAAACATCTCAGCGTTTGTTACTGGAGGCCAGAAGGGTACCATGTTGTATCCCCTGTTGTGACCAATGGGGGCGTTTTCTTCAGGATACACAGCTAAATCTGTTAGAGGAAGAGTCATGTAAGAGGAAACAAACTCGCTACAACTGCATATCAGGATTAGTTGGAATGGCACCTGAACCGTGTCTTCTGAGCCATTCATCAAAGATAGCATCAGTAAAGGTGTGCAGCAGGACAAAGATTGGGTCATTGGGTGAAAGGTGTGTCTGTCCTCCCGTTCCGTTCAGAAACAAGTGAGCCAGGTTGTGGAGGCTCCTCACTATGGGGTCATAGTTCCCCTTGGGGGCGCTGTAGCCTAGCAAATCCAAATGGGAGACATTCCAGTGTAAATGCATAAAAATGGATTGAACACAGAGAAACAACTGAGGTCTACTTCACCTTCGACTGTGTTCCTGAAGCTCTCAGAGGAGGTGGAGTAGAAAGGCGGTGTGTCGAAAGTAGTAACTTGTAGGCAATCAGCTACATCCTGCGGCTCTGGGAGACGCTGGACCATGGGCCTGTTGACATTTCCTGCTGGGTTTCTCCTGATTGGAGAGGTCTCTGTGCCTGAAGAGACAGAAAATAGTGGAATAAAAAAAGGAGTATCATCACACACACACTCTTTGTTTTCCTCTGAAAAGATGAAAAGGAATCTGTGTGTTCAATAAACACTTGTCTTACTGTTGCAGATGGTCCCCAGTGTGTCATAGTCCTCAACGCTCTCACACACAACCATCCACTGTGAGAAGACAGAGTTGGGACTGAGGGAATTCATGTCCGAGTTGCTCCTGGCTCCCATCAGGTCGTCCGTGCAGATGTCACATGTGTTCCCACCGATGGCAAAGTTCCAGTAAGGCAGGGCGAATGAGGGATCCTGCAGCATGTCCTTTGTGATACAAAAAGTCTCAAGTTGTAAATGGTTTTATTTTATTGTGCTGCAACCCAGAAGATAAGCACAGAGATACACAGATATAAATAGAAATCCTCTGAAAAGAACAGAAAGAACTTAAAGTTCCAGTCTTTGCAATGCACTCCATGTCATGTTAGCAACACTCTTTTGAATGAATATTGTTACAGTATTTTCAATAAAAGGGATTAGTTACAAATAAGTTAAAAGGAAGCACTGAGATCTAAGGAGCATTTTAAGTGAAAACTACTTTCTACCACATATTTCAGGCTGCAAGAGGTGACAGACAGCAAGACTTCAGCAGATAACAGGAGGGCTGAACAGAACCAAAATTAGGGTCTACATCAGAGTAGCATTTAAATGGTGGAAACAATACACAAGGAAGTAGTGCTTCAAAACGGATGCGGAGGTTAATTCAGTATAAAAGTGAAGTTTGTCTTGGCATTGGGTTAGAAACAGCAACTACTCTGTCGTCCTTTTTTTCACAGAAACCATACCAGCAGAATAGCAATAACAGTAACAACAGTAGCTTGGTATTAAATACATGGATGAAATGCTTGTAACTTATTGGTATCAATAAAAAACAACATAATTATTTATTTTTATTTACCTCATCACAAGACAGGACACGTGAACTCTTGCAGGATGCTGACATTGTCCAATTTATGAAACTCTGCTGCTTCCAAACTAGATATTATTCACTTATTACTGAGGCAAAAGTACCCGTTCTTCAGTTGTTTGTAATTAATTTAGCACACAAGATGGGAGTAAATGGTAGAAATAGAGGCTATAAATAAATAATACTAACTACTCAAGTAAAAGAAAAAGTATGGCTGTAACTAACATTCATTTTGCTAATCGATTAATATGTCTTTTAAAAAATATTTTTTACAGAATTCAAGCAAAGTGAAACCAAAAATGTTCCACTTGAGAAGTTCTGGATAGATGATATTGGTGGATAAAAAGTATTTTTATCTTAAATGCTAAATATTTCTATATTATTTTACAATGTTGGTATAATTACTGCTCTAAGCGTGTTGCTCTGTCAGCTAAATGCTAATTAGGAGTCTCAATACTGATTATCTCAATAACTGATTAACTATGATTAATCCAATTAAATGTTTCAGCGCTAAGAAAAGGTAGCCTGTGTATAAAACAATTTGAATGATTTACTTGTATATATTATGGCTCTTAATGAGAATTGAGATTTGTTTAAGACCAATATAATATAAAAAATGAAAAGAAGCCCCAAATCTCTGATCCAATCATCTCTGATTTTGAGCTCCTCTATAACTTTACTCACATGGAGTGAAATTTGAGAAAAGAAATGACATGGCAAAAAACAAAGATCCTATAAAGATTATTTTCTAAGAGAAAATAATTTCTAAAATAAACCTGATTACATTTTTAGCATACGAACAAACACCTTAAAGCATATGAAAGCGAGTAATTACAAACTAGACATATTTCCCCTCAAAGAGAAAGAATAAGGATCCACACAGTTCAAATATAGGGTTTGTTTTTCTTCTGTTTTTACAAGATAGATGGCTTCAGTGAGAATCCCAACTTAGATTTTCCTCGTTTCCAACTCTGTTTTGCCAGGTTTGAACAAAAGCACCTAATTAGGGAAGTGGAGCAGCAAACCTGCACAGGATATAAGGATGAAGTTTCTCTGTGGGAGTCCAGCTCTCTGCCAAGGATTCAGCTCCACATGCCAGCCTCATTTTTCAATCTTAGCTGTATCCCCCTTGTGAAAGGGATTATTAAAAATGTCTACTGCGTTTTCAGAAAAGAAAAACCTCTTTCACTCCAGATTGTTTTGCTTCTAAAAAAAAAAACATAATTTGCAAACTTAGTGGAACCAAAGCCCACAAATTGTTTACAGTGGCTTTTGCAAGCTATTCACTTATTAAAGCATGACATTGGTAAGTCAATTAGGATTTTCTGGTGAATAAGGATGCCTGGAGATGCAATAAACAAGCAGAGCTAAGTAGCCTATGACTTTAATCATTGCATATTTTCTACATATATCTCCTCACCTGCATGTCTCGCTCCAGCTGCAGCAGATGGAACCTGTGCCAGGTGAGGAACCCGGGGCCTTCGTGTGAGAAGTCTACCCCACCAAAGCTGGTCTGACCAGCGCCCAGAAACGTCTTGCTGACAGAGTAGTAATGAGACCAGACAAAGTAGTTGTAGATTGTGATATTTTCAAACTGGACTGTGTTCCCGTCAGGGCCGAAGATGTCTGAGTAGTGGCGTGTCGCGATCACCAGGTCGGGGTGCACCGTGCGTTTGGCCTGATGTAGTGCCGTTACAAAGGCACGCTTCTCATCTGCGCTGAGTTGCATCACGTTTCTCCTCACTGTGGGAAATCAGAAACGTTTTGTAATGAAGAGTTAAAGTCATTTAATAAACAGACAATAGGCTAAGATCATTTTAAAATCAGTGTGTAATTTGCTTAAGACCTGCTCCTCACTTTCTGTGTAAAAGATTTTTTTCTCTGTATCAAATTTCAAATACCAGTTTATGCAAATGTATGATTTTAAAAAAAGGCTTCTCTATAGCTCCTAAAAAAGAACACTCAAATGGGAAAAGTAAAATCTTTGTTAGCGCAGTTATTAAACAGGTTTTCTCAATGGTATTAATCATCATCTGGCTTCTCAATAGTTTAGTCTGTTGTGAAACAATGTAATCCTTTCATCTGACTTAGCATTTGATTGGTCAGACTTGCAAATTCTGCTTATGCCAATAAAACTACTGATAGAATTTGATGGGTAAAGTGGATCCACAATATGCTGCAATACATGCAGAGTAAATATTTACAGAAATACTGATATAATAAGCCATTTTGGTGTTTTTGTATAAAAATCAGTTCATTTTTTTTAATAGCTACAGGCAATATGGCTCACTTCTCATAGTGACATTGGGGCATTTAGGAACATCAGACCTTGTTCACACCCCAAATAGGTTTAACATTGCCTAATTGCATGTCCAGTCAATTGGAAGTGGGCTCCCCTGTGTTTGATGAAGGAATAAGCCCTGTGTGAAAATATTATTCACTGCAGCTCTCCAATACTGTTGAAGCTTTTTATCTGAGTGGGTTTTCAGATTCAGTGCAAAACTTAGGGGATATTGCCCTTTTTTGTAAAGGATTGTGAAATGATTGTTTTTCCCCCCCAAAAAATACATTTTTGGATGAAAAAAGAGCATTTATTAGTTGTTTTATTGTATTAGTGCCACAAAAAAAAATCAAGCATTTGTTGGGGTTTCTGACTTAAAATAGATCTAATAGTTTCTAATAAATCTAATGGTGTCTTATTTTTTAAAAGATAATGTTGAAAACGTCAGATATTTTATTTGTGTGCTTAAAAGGGTTAGAATTTAGACTATGACTATGGTTAGAGTTTCAGAGTTGGCAATAAGTGCCTCTATGTGCTTTTAAGAGGTCAAAAACACATTTTATTTTTGTTTTTTATCGGTGGATGTTTTATAATTCTGGTTGATTCATATTTTTCATTGTAAAGTTGGATCACATGTTAGCCTATGAGTATAATTATCTTCTTAAATTGAGTTGGGTTTATTTACGCACTGTATTGTGGCTCCTTTTGCCCTTGATTGCTTTCATCATGTTTGCTTTTATCTAAAGACTTATGCTAAAACCAGTTGCAAATATATATATATTTTAAAAAGATAAAACAATATTTCCAGCACAAAAAGGTAGAGTTGCTCCTTCACAATTTAAAATAAAAATCTCACCAACAGAAACCCTTTGATCACAGTTGGCCCCGGTCCATCCATGTCTGCAGCGGCCGCAGTTATACCCGCTGAAGTTCCCGTTGCATTGGCAGGTGCGGTTGAAGAAGCGGATAGGCCATCGTTCCCGATCGTCCCTACCATCGTGTGGATACTGAGGCCCGTGAGCCCGGGAATCCACCGACACGGACACGCACTGTCCGCGCCCCGCGCTGAGGCCGCATGGATCCCCGGGGAATCCGGGGGGCGCTGGACAACACTGTCCACTCACCAGCCCCTCTGGGGTGGCGCACTCTCTGGGGAACTGGGCCCTTACCACCAGTGCGCACAGCAGTACAGACACACTGTATGATAACATTCTCCAAGTCATGTTTCCAGATATTTACGCGCGGCTGCTCCTGGGGTTTCACTCACTCTGTTACTTCAATAACACTTGGAAATTACACAGCTTACTTTTGACTCATTAAATTAAAGTTCATTACTTTAAACTACCTGAGCCTCAGACAAACTAAGTGTATGACTTCCCCTCTTCTTGTGCCAATGCAGGATTTCCCTCTTTCTTTCCCCCCAAAGCACCGGAGCTTTGACCTTAAATACCGGATTAGCGCATGACTACCAGGATTTTCTGACTCCCGCGTGATTCCCCCTCACAAAACATCATATTTCCTACGGGAGAAAAGAGAGGATAGTGTGATCCGGTCATGCAGAGCATTGTTCTTCAAAAAGTCATCTGGTGGATGGGGAAAGGAAAAAAAAATAATACAAAATTCACAGCATGAAAATTTAAAAAGCTGCACACCTACTTACAGGTTTAGATGTATGGGGAGAAAACAGCAACACAAAACAATAGCAGAAGGACACTGAAATAACTTCCAAAAAAAAAAAATAAATAAATAAATAAAAAATAGAAAAAAAAATAGTGTCTGAGATCATTTGACTTCTAAAGCCCCTCTTTTTACCCCCCTTCCTTTATATCATGTGAGCCATTAAATCTCAAATGGTATTTACAAAGAATAAGAATTCACCTTCTAATATAAAAGTCTTTTTATTCTTTGAGTGCTTTTTAGTTCAGCCTTTCAAATACTGTAGAAAAGCATTACATTTGAGACTTGTAGACTTTGCCCGCTCGGATTAATATCTGGATGTCGTGCCATTCTAACCCATCATTATCATTTGTGACCTTTTTTTTAATGTGACTCCGGCTGCATGTTTCGGATCCCTATCCTCTGGCCCAGTTTCAAGTCTTTTAAGTCCTCTGACAGATATTCTTCCAGGATAGCAGAAAGCAATAAATTGTACTTGGTTTTACTGAGATGTAACAAAGGGACTCAGTATATGAATTTAAAGAAAAAACTAAACAATTTTTCGTTTTTGTTTTACTTCATAATTGCAAAGTTTTGCTGATTATCTAATCAATTCTTGAATAAATACTTTAAGGCACTGAAGATCTGGGATGCCAGGCAGTTTATGATCAAATCATAATTACATAGGTGGCTATTAATATTATTAGGAATCATCATAGATATCTTCCTGCTGTTCTTTTGTGTGCACTTCTTGAGCAACACTTGTTGGAATTTTCCCCCAGCTGCCTCTTCATCATGTGCACTTTTTTCCCTAATTTACGTCAGTATTAAGAAAGTCATAATGGTAACATTGAAACACCTGATGACATAAAAAAGCAAAAAAAAAGTCCATCTATCCATCCATTTTCTGACATGCTGGTGGCTATCTCCAGCTGTCTACAGGCAAGAGGCGGGGTATACCCTGGACAGGTCGTATATGTATATATATCAGCAGTTCCTGAAAGATTAAGGCCTTGAAGCTATGGACTGGTCCCCCCATAGCTCTGCAACAGACCAGTAACCTTTTCAGAGTGTACCCCCACCCCCTTTACCCCCTTTTTACCCTATCACTGATACAATCAGCATGGGTATTCCTGCCATTGGAACAAAAATTTAAATAACTGAGGCAAAGTTCTCGCCTTGGTTCCTGCATTCCAATGAGCAATTGTGCCTGTCCGGGTTAAGGTGAGGTCTTTGAGGTCAGAAGACTAGAAGTGAGAGACTTGGAGGGCTGCACATACTTGGACCTACATAAAATTACACACAGGATAAAATACCTGTCTGAAAAGAAAACATCATCACACAAGCTGACCTGGAGATGTGGCATCATCTCAGAGGTGTCCATTTAAAGAAAATTAAGGGCAGACATTTAACTCCTCATTTGAACTGATGTTCCTCAAGTATTATATAATAAACAGTCACGATAACTGACCGTAAGCAGTGGAAACGGTATTGGGATGGGTGGTAACTGGACCACTTGGTGTTGATACTACCACAGAATATGTTAGGCCTACTGCAGTGTCAAGTAACAGAATTTGTGTAACTGAATTGAAGGATCTCATCAGATAATATAACCAGGATTTCTCTGAGAACATGAATGAGGAGAAAAATTAGATGTCTGTGGATAAGTCTGTGGATAAGTGTTTTATGTGCATAACCACACATATGTAGCTGTGGTTGGGTTCCTGTTAATGCTAGACCTACTGTGGACTGTGGCTATTGACTGGCCTGCCCTTTCCCCAAACTTAAATCTGACCGAGCACATCTAGGACATCATGTCTTGATCTAACCATGTCACGTTGCACCACAGACTTTCCAGGAGTTGGCACCTCATCAGGTGCATGCCCAGGTGGATGGAGGTCATACAGGGATGAGAAAGCGAAACAATACTGAGCCTAATTTTGACCTGTTTCAAGGACGTTGATTCAAAGTTGGATCAGCCTGTACTGTGTTTTTCCACTTGAATTTTTGTGAGTGACTCTAAATCCAGGCCTATATTGGTTAATACATTTGATTTCCATTGATGAGTAATTCTGTTGTCAGCACATTAAACTTTGTACAGAAAGAATGTATTCAATGAGAATATTTTCTTGATTAAGATGTAGGATGTTTTTTCCCTTTAATTCTTTGTGCAGCGTATATTAAAGGCTAATTAGAGTTCCTTATTAGCTAAATGCTTTGCAAATGGTAATAATATAAGTGAGTTGATTGACTGACTTTCATATAATACCAAGAAATATGACAAAGAAAATCGTACAGATTTATTCATTTTTGAGGTCTCACATATTGGACCTATAGAGTGGGGCAGTTTATAGCATTGATGCCTTGCAGTACAAAGGTACTGGGTTTGATTACTGGCCTGGGGTTTTATTTTAATTTGGATTAATTTGGCTTCCTTCCACAGATCAAAAGCATTACTCTTTGGTCAATCAGACTCTCTAAATTGCCCTTAGTTGTGTGAATGGTTGTATGTCTCTGTTTTGCTCTGCAAAAGACCAACAACCTTTCCAGAGTGTACCCGACCCCCCTTTAACCTTTGACTATGGAGATAGACCTCAGCTCCCCCAAGGCACTAATGGGTCGAAGAAATATTCCTGGTAGGATGTGAAAAAAAATTTGGAGTTTTTAAAATACATTATTTTGTGTTTATCCTTTGTACTAGTTTGAAGACTTAGACTAAAAGGCGGGTTATACCTCTGCAGCAGTGTGTCGCAGTGAGCTTGTCGCAGGTATGACGCAGACATTTTTGATTTATGCTAAATTTTGAAGCGTGTTCTGCTCTATGTTTTTCGCTATGTCATTCCATCCTCCAGGCAAGTTTGTCCGACAACTGAGGGACATGAGGTAGAAAAAGAGCGGGAATCCGGGTGGAAAAAGGGTTGAAGCATTCTCACACTCCCATTGCACTTCTAGCTGCTCCATCTTCACGAGCGTTTTCCGCAATGGCTGTCATGCAAACAAAACAAGCCGGTAAGGTACCAAACAGGAAATATGCATCAGTAGAGTACATTTGACCAAACAGAGGCCTCCTGTCCGCGGCACTGTCTGTGGTCACCTACAATTTGGGAGAGGTGCAGCAGAATGTCTGCGTAGGGGGCGGGAACGTCTCTGCGTTCACCACAACACCTACGCAGACAACCTAGTTTTGAAGTATAGATCAGCCTTTAGACTAGGACAACATTTATTGTCATTTTGTATACACAGAATGTATACAAAACTAATTTTCGTTTTGTACAGCTCTCATGAGATGTCTATTTTCTTAAAGTGCAGCAGTGATCAAATGTACCCATTGTGGGAGAAAAAAACAAGGGCTAAAATTCAACATTCAACTTTCTGATGGCAGTGGGGAAGAAGCTGTTTCTAAATCTGCAGCATCTGCATTGAATGCTGCAAAGCCTCTTCCCAGAGGGCAGTGGGGAGAACAGTTCATGGTGGGGGTGTGAGGGGTCATTGATGATGTCATGGACTTGTGACACGCAGCGCTGGGATGAAATGTTTTTTATAGAGGGAAGAGAAGCCCTGATGACCTTCTCTGCAGTTCTAACTACTCTTCTCACCTTCTTCCAATTTGCGGTGCTGCAGCCTCCACACCATACAATGAGACAGCTGGTCAGAACGCTCTCTGTGGTGCTTCTGTAGAAGATTGTGAGGATGGGTGGTCATCCTCCACAAGAAGTACATACAATTTTGTGCCCTTTAGACCAGTGAGGTGGTGTTTACAGTCCAGGCCAGACTGTCTGTGATGTGCACCCACAGGAATTTTTTGCTGCTGACCACCTCTACAACTGAGCTGATGATGAGCAGTGGGGCGTGGTTAGACCAATTTTTTTTTTAAGTCAACGATGATCCCTTTTGTTTTGTCTACATTCAGGATCAGGTTGTAGTCTCTGCACCAGTCCACCAGCTGCTCCACCTCCACTCATTGTCGTCTCTGATGAGTCACACCACCGTGGTTTCATCTGCGAACGACAAGATGTGTTTGGTGGTGAACCTGCGGATGCAGTCATGTGTCATCAGGGTGAACAGGAGGGGGCTCAGGACTATCCAATTTGGAAAAATGAAAGAAAAGACCCTGGTGTTCTCAAATCAGGCACCTCTTTACCCTACCACTGATTAAATCAGCATGGGCATTCCTGGCATTGGACAAACAAATAAAGTAACTCAGGCAAAACTCTTGCTTTGGTCCTTACATTCCTGACCTTTTGAATTAGTACAGTTTTAACCAGACATTTTCAAACATTTTTTTTTTTAAAGTAGGCATATCTATTGAAATTCAGACAAAGAGGGGAAATATATCTACATTTCAAACGTACCTCAGCCATTTATACCATTTTCAGTATAAAAGCTGATTTCTGCTTTTTGACTTCCACATTAACTGTATGGCTTAAATAATTTTTTATTGACACAATACAATTTTTGTTTTGATAAAAATCTTTAGCAAAAATATCCCCCTTGGTGTAGGATTTTGCTTCAGATTTTGATCTTTTATGCCCTAAAAGTTAAATGTTCAGTTTTGTGGAACCCAATTGTGATGTTTTGTGCATATTGAAAAAAACAAACATACAAAGTAATAAATCATTTAAATGTGATACAATGGTCCTCAAACAATGCAGGATCTTTCTGGAAGAAGGGGAAACTTTCTCCAGTGTAGAAAGGTTCTCTAATCTGGTCACATGCACTTCACGTTGCCGATAAAAGCTACAGTCGGGTAGCATCGTTTTAT